GCTTGAGCTCGTCTTCATCATTAAAATCTTGCATGACACGAGCATTAAAAGAAGTTGTGTATCAACTAGAGCATGTTTTTGTTCTTTTTGATTGTGCTTCTCCTACTATGAAGTCAGCTTCATATTTTTTTCCACCTTGGACTAAGAGCTACCAATTTCCAAGGCTCATTAAACTTAAATTTCTTTCTCGTTTCCTCGTGAAACAAATGCAAAGCCTCTTGTGGAATTACTTCATCTCCTTAACCACTTCTCATTTGGTTTTTTAGTTTGCTGTAAACATGTTCATCTTCGAACACTTCTCGTTATTTCTCGAAACTTTGAATTAAGTTAGAGTTTGTTATGGTAGTCATCATCTTTGCCCAACTCCTTGCGAAATGTTTCAAGAATGTGTAGCAAAAAATGTTCATATGTTTGTGCATTTCAGTGCGTTGAATCTTCCGAAATGTCTTCCCAAGATTGTGTCAACACTAACTCTTCTTTAAGAGTCTATGCCTGAGGCTTCAACTTTGTCTTCTCATGCATCATTTGTTTTCCTTCGCGTCATGGTGGGGGTGGGGTTGAGTTTCCCGTACAAATTCGTCATCCGACTCATCGCTTCTTTAATTTTATGATTGAGAGTGAACGAGTGGGGTTTGGCTTTGAGGTTGATTTGGTGAAGAATAAAAATTAATATTCATAAACTTAAATATGAGAATACTATGAAATAATAAGTATAAGAACCAGATGAGGGGATCAAATGGATTTATCACTAAAATAATAACACACAAAGGATTGTTACTCTCTTTCCCAAGCAAATGTAGAGATCTAGCCTAGCTAGCCAAAAAGAAAGTGTCAAAAAAATAAATGATCCCCACTCACTACCCTCCCTAAATAACATTCTCATTTGTGTCTTTATACAGTTGAAGGTTTTCTTGTATTATAATAAATGATTCCTCGATTCCCATATTTGTAACTATTATTATTTTTTTGAACGGTGAGGTTAATGGTTAGAAGTTAGTATCACAAAATTGTTCACGCCATGGTTAGAACTCAAGACCACCAATCTAAGAGGCAACGCCTCTACTAAGTGGGTTAGTCCCACATTGGACCATACTTGTAATTATTATAAACATGTATTTATTTTGTGTGGGTTTTCCAGCACGAAATGCAGGTGATGGTGAGTGTGAAGGTGTTAGTGAAGGAGGTGATGATTTTTCGTGGGAAGGGTAGGGGTGAGGCACACCTCATTTTAACTAATATTCCTAAAAAATTTAAAGCAATGATAAACAAGCTAAAAGTAAATAAGAAGAAATGATATAACAATCATTTTGGGTTTGATATAGACTAAATCCGAAACAAAACCAAAGGGCGGATCCAAGTTAAAAAAAAGTAACAAATCACTGAAATCGTCCCTATGGTTTGGTCAAAATTGCGTGTTTGGTCCCTAACTATAACACTCATAAAAATCATGATAAATTTAAACCTTTTTAAAACAACTCAATTAACAAATTGTTTACAAACATAGTTTTCCAAAACATTTTAACATCAGAGTTTCTCAAAGTCATAAGTCAAAATATGAGGATGTGTACGGTAATGCATTCGCCTTCCCGCGATCATCTGAAGTACCTAAAACATAACCCAAAATTGTAAGCCAACGCTTAGTGAGATCCCCCAAAATACCACCACATACACATAATAACAAAATAGCATGCATACAGAGCCTTCAGCCTGACTAGAACGCCTCACCGGGCCTACAGACTATTTGGACCGCTCATAGAACCTTCAACATGACTGTAATCCCTCACCGGGCCTACAGACTATCTGGACCGTTCTTCGGGCCTTCGGCCTGACTGGTACGCCCCTTGGGCATGCAGTCTATCCAGGACGCCTTGGGTCTGTTGGCCTTCAACATACACTAGTCCGCCTTAACCCAAACATACACAAACCATGTCGACATATACATAACAGATAAACATACATATAACCAGTCAACAGACAATCAAACAGATCTTATAGATCACTAAGCATAGCATCATCCTATATACCAGGATACATATCTAACAGATCACTACAACATACCAACATGCGATAAACCAAGATAACAATCTAATGGGTCGACCTTGGTGCCTTCGACCCAAAAGTACAATAAGGAAAACTCACCTCGCAAACTAGACAAAAAACTGATGAAGTCTCGGCTCCGAATCTCAGCTCTAACCGCCTCCTATTACAACCAAATGACCAATCTCAGTCAAAATCCCAAAATACCCAAAACACCCTTAAGGTCAAACTTGGTCAAAGTCAACCCTCCTCACGTCGTGGCCAGACATTGATCACGTCGTGACCGCCAACCCGATTCGATTCCCACTCGACTTGACCCAAACCGATCAGCTCACTCAAAGAACCACCTGAGTTGGCATCACCACGTGAGCACCCATTCTCACGCCGTGAGCCTCAAGGGTCCTAACAGAAACAGGACCGCTCCGATTATCACGTCGTGGGATCTTACTCCTCACGCCGTGAGCGATGTCTGTGGCTAAGGATCACCATTTTAAGCCCTTATTCCATTAAGTCTTCGAGTCCACTTCATCCAGAAGCTAAAGGGGCCCCCTAAGGTCCATAAAAAATGTTTCATTTATGACCATGCATGCACCAAACATGATCATCCACTTTCTAGGTCAAAAAGGGAAGAACTAAGCTTCAAACTTGCATGCATGTCTCGAATCTATACCAACTCCCAGATCTGAAGACTATAATACTCTTGGGACTCTTGAAACGCATAAAGTTGCCAACTTTATGGATCTACTCCACTCAATCATGCAATAACATCAATAAAATGGACAAAACTCAAGATCTATCCATGATAAGTATTAAAGTTGGAGACTTTGATACTTACAAGGGTCCAAAAGCAGGAAAAGATGATGATGATGATGATGATGATGATACCGAGTCTTTGCCCACACCAACATTAGAGCACTTCCTTCTTCTTCTTCTTTTCTTCTTCCCACAAGCTAGAAATGCCCCCAAATGACAAATGATCTTAAGGAGGAGGAAGATTAGGGTTTCTGGAGATCTAGAGAGTGAGGGAGGCTGAGGGTGAGGGTGAGAAACTCTAGCCCTCTCATTCCATTAAATATCGAAGACTTAGGGTTTTTGCTCACCAGTCGCCATCACGTCGTGAGCATAATACTGCTTACGTCGTGAACCTTTAAATGATGCATGGGTTCAGATCACTCTTCACGATGTGAGAAGGCATTCCTCATGTCGTGAGAAGGGCAGAAAGGAAAACTTTTAACTTTAAAATATAAAAAAATAATATGCACTTGATTCGGGTGTTACACTAACTTTTTTTTTGCACTCGGACCGTCCTTATAGTATGGTTTTGTTGCGTTTTTAGTCCCTCCCCGACATGAAAAGACAGTATTGCCCTTTATATTTTCTTTTTCATTTTTAATTATTTATTAATTAAAGAAAATGATTTATAAACATTTGGGACCCACACATACTCCCACTTCCACCGGCATCCACCACCGGTCATCGACAATCACCACCGCCATCTATCTAATCTAGCACCACAACCGTACGCATCATCGATTTCATCAAGTGACAACCCAAGATCAAATCCCAAAAATCAAACCAGACCAAGATCAAATCTAGAAATCAAAACCAAAAACCTATCTTGAAATCGATGTTGAAAGAAAAATCGACCGGAAATCAAAGACGGTTTTCAGAAGAATCGAGTTAAATGGGAACGACGCTCTTTGCGATTTTTGATTCGGCGGTCCAGTTTTCAAAGGTTTTTTTTTCTGGAGATGATGGTGGTCGGGATTACAGTTGAAGGAGATGGTGATGGTTGGAATATCTTTAAAGGCATGGTGGTGCTCGTTAAAGGAAATAGCCGCGAAGGCGGGTCCAATTGTCTCATTCTCCAACATAGTGCTCCACTCACGGCGGTGGAAAGAAACAGTCGCCAAGGCGACGGTGGTGGAGAGACTTAGGTTCGACGAAGGGAGTTGCTTCCTGCCTCCCAGATGATGGTGAAGATAAGTTTCAGTTCTAAGCGGCATCTCCGATTATAGAAAGGAATGAGAAAGTTGAAGATGAGTTTCAATGGAAGGGAAGGGATGGGATCTAGGATTTGAACGTTGAGGAGGTAAAGGTGGGCCCCACATTCTTTATTAGTTTTTGTAATAGAATAAATAGTAAAAAAACTGAAAAATAAAAAAATAAAGGTTAATATAGTATTTTCAAATGTGGTAGAGACAAAAACGCAACAAAATGATATTACAATGACGATCTGAGTGCAAAAAAAGTGTTAGGGACCAAACATGCAATTTTGATCAAACCACATGGATGATTTTAGTAATTTGTTCAAAAAAAATTATTGACCAAACACACAAACTAACCCTAATGACAAGGATCATTCATGTAATTTACTCTAAAAATATATTGATTAACCTAGTCTAGCAAACCATGCTTAGATCTAGTTAATTTCAATTTCAAATAAGTAATAAAAGATATTCTCATTATAAATAAGGTTTCATATCCTACTAAAATATAAGCTTAAAAAAGTTGTAAAGTAAAACATAAAGTAGACAAAGTAGTATACAAATAACAACATATGATTCTCTCACAAACAATCAGTGTGAAGAAATGTTTTGAGAGTGAACGAATGTTTGCTTAATAAGTTTCTTTTCCATAATAATTAGCATAACTACACCTTCTAATTGCATGGTTTCATTGTAAATCAGGCTTGGGGCAGAGTAAATCTAAGTTCCAACTCTATTGTTCTCTATGGTACAAAAAAAGTTCGAAGACCACTACTTAAAAACTGCACAAATAAAGATCGAAGTAATCCAAAACCATGATAAACAGTGAAATATTCAAACCAAAATGGGCATCAAATCACATAAAAAGAAGATAATAATTGATCGTTGTGTCCCTTGTAGCAAAGAGTGAGTAACAACTGACAACTAGCAAGTAACAACAAAACATTAAATTGCAACATATGCATATAGATAAGACTAATATCCTTTTTGTTTGAGATCAACTTTCAAACAATCATTAGGGAAGTACCATATGGTTTCATTAAAAAACACGCCATTTCCACTTGTATAATTGTAAGCACATTTCTCGTAATGCTGCAACCAAGAGTTAGACCACAACTCTCGTTTGATAGCAGCACTATGCTTCAAGTCGCTAGCCAAAAATGCATATTCTTCCATTATCTTTTTATTTGGAGATACCCATTTCATTTCACCAAAATCTAGTTCATGAACCTCGTACTCATGAAAGGAAATGCATTCCATAGCATAAAGGGTCTCACTGGAACATACAAACTCCAGAAATACCAAGTCTGCCTCCAGAATATTCTTGGTTTTGAGTAACATTAGTTTGGGCTCCGGATCAAGCCCAAGTTCATACAAACGAGAACCCATGTCGATTGCATATATCTTCCCCTTGAAATCATGCAAATCAATGATGCTGGAAATGGAGGAGACATAATTCCATTCTGCTTTACCAGATATTGAAAACCATATTCTGGAGGTGCATCTACATAAGACCACAAGCACCCATGCAGATATTGAGGATGAAAAGACTAGAATAGCCCTGACTCCTTCTTCATCCGGTTCAAGATAACTGGGGACTTTGGGGAAACGAAGTCCATGCCTTGTAATAGGATTCATAAGCCAAAAGTCACGTGGTTTTCTCCTGAATAAGACCAAATAACCACAAGTTAATCCAACACAGGTCTTTCGACTGGATTTGGGAATGAGAAATTTGAACTCTCTTCCGTCAAATTCATGCAGGGAGTACTCTCTCTTATTACCCTGCTCTGAGATCCATATGGACACGGGTGGTTTGGATTCCATAAACCTGGTTTTGTTAGAGAGTGCAAGTGATCTCCATGACTTACAAACTCCACTAAATGCAACAAAATCAAAGGCTCCCAGTTGCATCATAACTTATAAATAAAGCAAATGATGGTCAAGATCTGACCAAGGTGCTGCACCAACAGTCATGGACCTCTTCCTGCTACATCCATCACCACGATTCTGGCTTTTGGACACACTCCCTGTCTTAGTCATCGCTGCATTTGAAGGAAAAAATAAATAATCAAGATCCTTGTAAATGCAAATTCAACATAAGATACACTAGTTATAAACAGCCGACAAGCGTAACTAAGAGGATTCTACAGTGAGAAAAAAAAGCACATGTTACATGTAACCAAGACCAACATTAAACCAAAATACCAAATGTAATCAAACCCTAGGTAATCAAATAAACTGACAGAAAATGTAAAGGAACAATATGCAGGAAAAAAAACAATTTAGGGCTTAGTATCGACGAAAACTGAAAGTAAAACACTAGTTATTATGGACTAGTCGACCATGAGCTAAGGCTGAACGGAGTGGAGGTGTTAAGGCCGGTCGTTAAGCTCGTTAAGACAAGGAGAACACCGCCCCCTAGCGCTCGCTAGGGGGCTCGCTATGCTCCAGTCGTTAAAGCATTGGCGAGACGAGAGAGAAAGGAAATGGAGAAGGTGATTGGTCCAAACGGTTTCTTCTTCAATAGCTTGAACTCTTTCTTTAACCTCCAGTTTTTTCTTCTCTATTTCTTCCTCTTTCGCCTTAAAAGTTGAGAGAGCAGATTTAGACATCTCTTCATCTTCTTTCGACATTAGCCCACTGAAACTCAAAAAACCCCCCCTTTTAATCTTTCGATTTCATGTTTTGACATTAACGCACTGAAACTCGCTCTTCTTCTTCAACCAAAAAAAGAAAAAAACCCTCCTTCTTCCTCTGATTCCTCTCTTAATTTCACTATTGTCGCTACCTGAAACCCAACTACACACACTACTGTGTGTGAGAGAGACAACGATAATTAACACAGGAACTTGGACAGAGAAAGGGGATTGGAGTTTGGATTAATGATGTAGCGGTGGAGACGGAGGAGATCGTAGAGGTAATTAGAACTTTATGCTTCTTATTTTGCTAAGATCATTCGGTTGCTGAGTCATGGCGATGAGAGTTCGGATTTGCTTTTTCATAGGTTCAAAGAGGTAATTAGAACTTTATGCTTCTTATTCTGAACCACAAGTAATCATGAGCTGTTGTTCTTTTCTTTATAAAGAAATTTCAAATCCAAAATTTGTGATGTTTTTAATTTCAGCTCTGAAAATGATTATATTGCTATTTGTGAATCTAGTAATTAGATTTTCTCCTATCATCAAATAAATTTTATCAGTTTTAAAGCATCAGGATTTTCTAATGAGATTCAAAACCATTTGCTTCATGAGATCAATTGTAATCACTCTTCCATTCAGAGGTTTCATGTAGGATTCTTACCGGAGAAAGGCATACAACTGTTATTAGGTCTAGATATGTCCAAGTACTTCTAAATCAAGATATGAGTTTCTTCAATGGCAGCATTGTGAGTCAAGTATTAAGTGATGTATTGCTTGTCCAATATTAACTGGCCCCTTTACTGTCATAGATTTGTTTTATGAAGATAATGTGGTTTTGTGAGTAAGGGGGTGTTTGGATAAATAGTTTTTAGCTTATTAGCTTATTGCTTATTTGCTTATTGTGGTGAGAATAAACATTTTTTTAAAATGTGTTTGGATTAGCTTATTGCGGTGGGAATAAGTAATAAGCAATAAGCATTTAAGTGTTTGGCAAAATAAAACAGCTTATATGAGTAAAATGACAATAAGCAATAAGCAATAAGCAATAAACATTCCCCCCTTGTTTATTAAAATCAGCTTATTTTGCTTATTCCTACCGCAATAAGCTGATTTTTAAAGACTCCTATCCAAACACTTAAATTTGCTTATTGCGGTGGGATTAAGCGATAAGCAATAAGCAGCCTATTTTTTCCCTATCCAAACACCCCCTAATTGGATTGTTTCAGGTTCCTTTGTTATAGTTGGACAGTTTTACCCTTGTGTTATAATTGGACAATTTTAATGTTTTTGTTATGGTTCATTTGATTAGTATGGAATGGAATCAAGAATAGAATGTAATTTAATAGATTGTAACATCAAGATTAGAACAAGAATGAAATGGAATGAAATCAATAATAGAACAGGAATAGTAGTTGCACAGGGACAGAAAAGAAAAATGCTGGACAGGAATAGGAATGAAATCAAGTGGAGATTGGAATGGAATCAATATTAGAACAGAAAACTAAGTATAATTACATGTTTTTTGTCTCAAAAGATATGACATTTTTGTCCAATACATGACACTTTTGCCCAAATCAAACAAATGGAACCAAATTAAACAAACACAAAAAAGATAACCAAAAGGTAATTACTTTATGTGATATTAAATAAATCAAAAAAACGTTTGTGTAGTATTAAAAAAATGTTTGTTTATTAAAATAAAATAATTAAATTAAATTAGAAAAAAGAAGAAAAAATGGACCACTCCCTACCAAATGTTAAGATTAAGTGTTAAATAGAAAAAAATGAAGTGTCTTTAAAAAAGCTGACATGACAAGGTGTTAAGAGTGTTACCACTCCCTTTAGCCTAATAAACATCCGAATCCTTTCAAAAACGCACAAATCGAGATGTTGTGAAATAACTTGCCTGGTTGAAATCGAGGAGGGAGCAACTTCAGCTGTTGGGCTGGTTTAAGAACTAACGGGTGAGACTCTACCGTTGTTTCCATTTCCGATGTTTTCTCTTAGGCTGCGGCTAAATCTTCAAATAGGTTAAAATGTGAAGAAAAAAAAAAAGACGCCTAGGACCCAAGTTACACGCTTTTGGGCCTATGTGACAATTATATTTGTTGCATTAGGCCTAGTCGCATAGGCCTCGGTATATTTGTTGCATTTCCGTTTCAACAAATTACAAATGTACAATTTTAATTTTAAACACCAACATCACAAATTCACAAATTTATTATATTATATATTAAAAAAATTATATATATATATATATATATATATATATATATATATATAGTCA